CTCTGTGGTGTACATAATAAACATGTGTAGCTTCCAGGTTGATGTGGAGTTGGTGCCATTCCATCAGAGTGCATGGCCCAGCTAACCCCAGATTGTCTGTATGAATATCTGTCCTCATCATTCTCTTACTGTCTCCTAGTCAAATTTCTGGGCCTAAGCAATGCTGGATGTGGAAGCAAGAGCCATTGACTTACTGGGAATTATCGTATTTTAAATGTCACCGACTATTTTTTTCACCGACTTCAATATTATATTATCTAAAGAACTTTAGATTTTATTTCCTATTGTGTTTTCTAGTCAGTGGTGGATTTAGTGTTAGAAGTCAATAGACATAAAGGCCACAGCCACTCTCTATATCTTTGTGTGCTAAAGAAAAATATAGGATCCAACCTCTCATGTAGCCAAGCATGCAAATGACTGTTATACATCATGAGTGACAGTGTATTCAAATGAGAGAATATGTCATATTTGGCTACAGGCTATTGAAAGTCAAATGGATGGAAACACTCTGGCTCAGTTTTCTAGAAAAATAAATCTGCCATGATTAAGGGTATCTTAAGACTGAGTATTTGGGAAAACAGTGTTTCCCTGCTACCTTTCCCCATGAAGGCAGACAGTAGCCCTGGTGTGCACACTGACAAACACTGTTTTCCTTCTGCAGTTCTTGAGTGAGAGTGTTTGTTTGAAAGAAGAGATCCTCTGGGAAGGACAGCTCCAGCTTTCGCGGTGATGCTTTTGCCTTTTATGTTGTTGTTATTTTTCTCCTCCTCTTGCAGCAGTTTGGGTAAATGAAGCAGAGACAGTGAGCTTGTGGGAGACGCTATGCAGGGATGGAGTGAGATGCATCTATGGGGAGGTCCTAGACTTGGGGATGATAGACTTAGCGATTTGGATGGGTGCATCGGTGCTAAATGACCTGTGTTAACTGACAGGTTGTAAGCTATAGGCAAGATAGGGGAGTGCTTTCTATAGTCACCAGTCGTGTTAATTTTGACTTGTTTTTTTCTCTTTCTGAGCCTTTTTTTTTTCCTAAAGTGCTCTGCTTCCCTCAATGAGTGTCTGAGAACACGATGCTGAGATGAATGGCTTTGGCGAAAGTACTCTGTTTGTCTACAAAGCACTGTGCAAGGATAAACCAGTGTTCATTAGTGAGCAATGACTGCTCCTCCGCTGCTGTGATTAAGGGAAAACAATTGCCCTGGAAAGCCCCTGTGTGTTGGGACTAATTGAGTCCTGGCCTTCAGCTGCTCTTCCCTGTCTAGAGCCTTCTAATGGAAGTTACTAGAAGCTGTGTTTTGCCTAGAGGATCAGAGGATGAGATTTTCACCTGTTGGCCATTGACTACAGGGTATTTAAACCTTCATGGTGCTATTAAAGAAGGGCCTTTGTACCAGCGATCGGAGTTCCGTGTGTTGTTCTGTCTCTGTGTGTGTTTCCTCAACCTTCAGCCCCTTGCCCGAAGCTGGTGAACTGGATTCTAGCGCATACAGAGCAGACGGAGGGTGCGGAGCCCGGCACCTGTGTTCCTTGGACTTTTCATAGAAGCAGAAATCTCAATGGAGATGGTTCTTTTTCCTCGCCTTGCTGTTTGGATTTGAATAATCCCAGCTCTAAGTGGACTCTTGAATACGGCCCCAGGATCTGATGCCACCAGGGTGCTGATTTCTTTCAGGGAACTCACTGGCTCCTAAGTGTGAGCCCTGCTTCAGGTCCCCCTTGCCTCAGTATTTGAGAAGACAGTCTCTTGTTTCATCATGAGTCCACAGAATCTAAAGCCCAAACAGAGGAGAAAACATGTCTGAAAGGCAGTGATAGTCACTTCTGCGTCCTGGAACTTCACAGCAGAGTAGCCGTACATTTCTTCATCGCTGGGCACAAGTGACGTCATTGCTGAAGTATTTGAAGTATTCTGAAGCATCCTTTCCCTTTAGGATCCTATGTGTCGTTCCCCCCCCCCCCCGCCCCCACGCAGAGCCTACTTATCTGAGCTGTCTCACATTCCTAGAACTCCGCATTGGGATGACCTGCTTCTTCCAGTATAAACTTCTGTGAAGATGGAGTAGTCTAGATTGTCCCTGTCCAATAAAGTGGCCACTAAGCTCATGCAGCTACTGAACATTTGAAACAGAATCAGTATAACTGAAGACCTGACTCTTTAATATCTGATTTCAATGGACTCACATTTAAATTGGCATATGTGGCGGGTGCCAAGGTATCTGTTGGCCAGTGTACTCAGTTTCTCTACTACAACTGAAATTAGTCCAACCTAGGTTCCAATCCATAGCCTTCCCAGAGAAGCACAAGAAAGTCCATCTTGTAAACCAAGTACTAGGTGTAAATTAAGTTCTTAACCCTTGTAGGCAACTAACGGTGTAGCTCTTTCTCTTTTTCCGTGTGTTGGGGATTGGACCCAATGCCTCACACATACTAAGCAAGAACTCTACCAGTGAACCACTTGTGTACATGCCTAGACTAGCACACAGGTTTTTAACAACATCACACTTTAGTCAAGATAGAAGCCCAAGTGGCAAGAACTGGGGAAGGGGGCAGATAAGTGTGATGTGTAAGAAGATGATGGGTAAAGACCTTCTGATGCACATCAGAGCATGCCTAATGGATGGCATATCCTCCCCAGGGCACTGGGATGCTTCTAAACTCTTTTGTCTCTCAGAAATCTGAATTTAAGGTCACAAGTATATGGGCAGGAGCTGGGAAAAAAACTGGAATGGGCAGATCCTGGAGGATGCTAGAGTTCTTGCAAAAGGATGTAAGGTGCCAGGTAGGTTGGTGTTTTGTTCTGCCTTTCTGTGGAATGAGTACAACCATTGGGACATAACTGAAAAGCTGGAGACCAGGAAGCAGATTACAGAGCTCACAATAGACTAGACTATGATATTTTTGTGCTGGACAAGAGATGAAGCTCTGCTCTTAATTTGAATCCCAACCTTTCAGGGAAGTGTTCTTTCTCTTGCATTCTTTTATGAACATTGGTTTCTGGATGTTCTTTTCCTGTTGAAACTGGGCTGTGCTCCTGTGTGTCTTGGCTTGTCTTAAGACGGCTTTCAAGTTCCTGCCTGAGTTTTCACTGATACACACTGGCATCAGAATAATCTTTGCATATCAATTCCAGGTTGGGTAAAGGGTGGAGGACGTGGGGCTGGGGCTGATACTATGGAAGGACAACCAGAAGGATAAAAGGGCCCCGGGGGACACTTGGAGATGAGCAAGGGGAGAGCATACCAATGCCTGTGTTTTGGGATTTGCTCTTGGGGCCTCAGTCTCTTGTTCCAACTGCAGACACATCTGTTACCAAACACTTCACCTGCTCTGTACTGCTTGGAGTGGAAAATATGAATTTTAATTAAGACACTGTTCAGAATCTATGCCTTCCTGCTTAAAAAATCTTATAAAGTCAGTCAGAGACTTTTTTTTTTTTAACACAGATATGTGGTAAATAAATAGGTACACATAAAAGTTTAAAAAAAAAAAGCAATTAGCTGGGAAATCTCTCTGGTGTTTGCAACACAGTTCAGACTCCAGTTTCCTGGGATTCCTTGTCCTCTCGAGGAAAAAGTTATTACAGTATTTAGCATAACCTTGTTGTCTCTCAAATTGTCTATCTTTTAAGTAGCACAGACCGTGTGAAATCAAGGAGCAGAAGCCCAGAAAGGAGGAGAAAGTGCATAGAACTCCAGCTGCATTGATTTCTCAGTCCGGACATTTGTGGACCGATCAGGGAAGGACATGCGTGCCACAGGGATCTCTTGTAACCAAAGTGTCTAGATGACCTATGGCATGCTTTTTGTAGACATTTCATAATGTCTACTCCGTAGACTATGAATTTCAGTCCATTTAAATGAAAAGACAAAAGGTCCTGCCAGGGCTGAGGTAACTTATAAGTGGTTTTTGATACAAGGATCTTGGTCTACTTAGGAGACTTCTGGCAATGTCTGAACACATTACTGTCACGACCCAGGGTGGGTGGTTTTCCCCTTCTCAGGCCCTTAAGCAATGTTTTGACACTGCTGGTTGTTAAAGCTGGGGTTGCAGTGCTGTTCTCTCTGATGTTGCCAAGACTATTACCATACAGAGAGCAATCTCTGTGACAAAAACATTTGACTCAGAAGGTCTTGACAAAGTTTGAGAATCCTTGGTCCAAGGGACAGGCAAGTCTTCACCAGAGTGAGGGATGACTCTCAAGGGGGTGTCACCATGCCACTGTTGGAAGACTAGTAAACACCACGAAGTGGCTCAAAGAAATCTCAGAAGCTTTTCACTTAGAATGTTCTTCAGTCATTAACTTAGTCCATTTCCCATCTTCATGAGGTTTTCGCTTTCCCTGGAAGGACAGGAAAGTGAGGCCTCAGAGTTACACAGGCCACCCTCTGCTTTCTTACAGTACTTCGGACCTTCCACAGCAGCATAGGCAGGGGCAATCTGTGCGGAAGGTTTCTCCATGGCCTGCTCGCTGACAGGTCCCGGCTCCCAGGGTTTCCTTGCTGTTAGTGGAAGGAGAAGACACAGAGCTCGCCATGTATGAGATTTGTCATATAGGTTGTGATGGAGCAGATCCAAGTAGTGACATTATTAAGGGGGCTGAGACAAAGATCAGAAAGTGGTGACAGAATTTGTACTGAACTGGTTGGAGAAATACAAGCGGGTGCAATATTTCTCTTTCTGGTTATAAAAGTAACACCGACAATGTCAAAAAATTTCCCAAGTACAGAAACCTATAAAGAGGAAATAAAAATCACCTGATTGCACTACTAGGGAATACCAACCACGTAAAGCTTTTGAGAGAAACAAGAAAAAGACAAACGAGCTTCAGGTTTTCTGAGACAATGAGCTAGGGAGGTTTGAAGATGTTTTTGAGGACAGCAGAGTGCCCTGTGTGAGCATCGGTGGTTTGAGATGATGCTCTTTGAGAATCAAGATGGCTGAGTCCCCATCCTTGCCCAGTGGGAAGCAATTGGCTGGGCACTAGCTCAAGCCCTCCTTACCTTTAGGGCTCATGTGCAAAGCATCTGTGGTGCTCACCTTCAGAGACAGGAGGAGTGTCCTTCAGCTGAAAGAGAGGATGATTCATTTTAGTTCAAACATGACAAGGCAGGATATTTGTCATTCTTGGCTTCCTGTGCCACATAGCATGGCAGAACGCCCTCGCTTATAGCTCTCATTTTCTGGACTTTTTTTTTTTGGCATCCTCATTATGAAGTAATATCCATCTTAGAAAAAAAGTCGCAACAATAAATTCCATCTATTGCACCCAGATAACCTAATTATTAAGATGCTACTCATCTTCCTGTGTCTTTTATATATGAAAATTACTCCCCCCCCCAAGTCACTGGAAAGTAAGCCACAGTCATGAGCCTTTAATGCCCTAATTATTTGAGTTTATTTTCCTAAGAATAGGACATTCTCTTTTATAAACAGTATGATTAAGTCAGAAAATACCCGTTGATTCGGCATCGCTATACAATCTATAGCTCCTAGGCCATTTTTACCAGCTTTTCCAACTGGGATTAAGTTGTAAGGAGTTTCATATTGAGGCCCTAGATGGGATTTACTGATTGCTGACGTGGCCTTGGTCGAGTTAGATTCACCCACTTTTACTTGAAGCTTAGGTCGGACTCGTCCTCGAGGAGTCAAAAATGTTTAGGCAGGAGAAAGCCTTACAGAGTGAGAAATGGACAGACTGCTCACGGGAAGGCAGCAGGAAGCCTTTCGTCCCTGTGATGTCCCCTCCAGGTGTCACAGCCCCAATCTAATGCCTGCTAGTATTTCTGACTCTAGGCTTGTGTATGAAATTCCAGACTCTCGTTCTTCTTGATTGGCCAGGGTTTAAAGGACACAGCGCCGGTAACTAATGGAGATGCAGATCTTTCAGATTGGAAGAAACTCTTTCAATGCTTCAATACAAAACAGGCCTGAATATGCCAGAGGCTGCTTTTTTAAACGTGGGTTCTCGGGCTGGGAAGATTGCTCAGTGGGTAAAGCCCCTGATGGTTGGCTGTGAGACTGGATTTCAGATCTCCAGCAGCCATTAAATGCTGGCGAGGCGTGGTGGCCTGCCTATGAACCCAGCAAACACGGGAGGTGACAATACATCCCTGTGATGAGCTGGCTGCCTACATCAGCCAACTCTAGCTAGAGTGGGTAGACTCGCTGGAATTCTGGCTTCAAGCGGATGATATTGCCTTACTGTGTAAGGTGCAGATAGAAGGAGAAGGACACTAGACATCAGCCTCTCGCCTCTGCATGTACATGGACGTGCATCTCCATATAAACAATTGCCACACACACAAACACACATACACATGTACACATGGATCACACATGCACACATGCAAAAACAAAACACTCCCTTCCCCCAAACTAACTTTTCCTTTTGTACACAAATTCATAATTATTGTCCAGTTTGCTCTCACAATTCCAGGCAAAAGCCAACTGGTCACTGGAACCAGCCAAAAAAAACTTTCAAATAATTTCTAAGCCTCCGAAGGCCAGACTTCTAGAAATCGTTCCTTGACGAAGCTGGCGCTCAATGTTCTTCATGCTATCTCAACAAGCAGAGGAGGGAGTGACTGGCAGGAGACCTGTGGTGGCCCCCAGTGTCTTTGTAACTCTGAAACCCTCACATACAGTCGCTAGTTTGTCAACATTGCTGCTCTGATTGGGCAGCTGAGCTGTGTTTGCAATCAAAGCCCGCGATATGATGGAAGCTATTTGAGCAAAAGATGTTCATCCACAAGACGTTTGGTAATGAGGTGTCTGGTGAACCCACAGCGTGTGACACAGATGTCTGGGGCAGGCTTCCTAGAAGTAAGTCACCAGATTTTTTCCATAAGGTACAGTGACACCACATCTTCATTTAAAAAACTCTTTAATGTTCTAGAGTGAGTTTTACGTTCTGGGAATTATTTTCGCTGTCTTTGATGATGTCCTAACTCTGTTCAGAACAGCCCCTGATCCTCTCCGTTCCCATTTATACTCTGCTTTAATGAAATAATCTATACTTTGTTTATACTCTTGTTGGAAATTCCAGGTCAGAGGCTACATGAATGCAAACAGTTTGAAATACTAATCCAGTAGTAATGAGGGCCTTGAAACACAATGGCATCAAAGAAATTGTAGTTCCAGCAGCCCCCAAAGGTTTTATTGAATGGTGGGTCCTGGGCTTTCATCTTGCTCTCCTATTATTCATTGCCATGTCTCAAAAGTCTGGCATGTCACTTAACCCTGGCCAATCTCTGTCCTTGTTTCCACACTTACTCTCTTCCTATTCTGGGCTTGATGGCTCTTCCTGCTGGGCTCCCTTGCCTTCGCCTTCAGGGAGAGTTCAAGTGCATCAGGCAGAGGATGGGAAACGGACATGTCAGGGTATTCTTTCCTTTCACGTCTACCCGTCCTGTGTCGCAGGGGTGCTATAGCTCTGTAGCCTCGTTATTCAGTAGGGCAGCCCTTCCTCTATGACTCTGCCTGTCACTGAGCCCCAGAAGATCATTCTTACTCCTGTCTGTGCGGAAGAGTGGTGGCAATTTCCCTTATTCTCTCAGCCCTGCCCACAAGAATGCTGTGTAATCTCATTGCTCTCTCTAAAAGCCTGGCTTATCTGTTAGTGTATGACCATGATGGAAATATTACTCAGAAAGCTTTCTTCCATTTCTGTGTTGTGGAATAATTTGAGGAGTATTGGTCTTAGGTTTTCCATTGAAGGCCTGGTAGAATTTGGACTGAATCCATCTGGCCTTGGGCTCTTTTCAATTGGGAGACTTTTAATTACTGTTTCTATTCCACTAGGGGACATTAATCAATGGAATAGAATTTAAGATACATACACAATTCCACACATCCATGCAAACATACATTTATTTATTTATTTATTTATTCAAAGAATCCAAAAAGTATACACTGGAGAAAAGACAACATCTTTAACAAATGGTACTGGTTTAACCAGATAGATAACTGCATGTGGAAGAATGGACTCCATGTTCTTTTTCTTGTTTTGTGTGTGTGCTTTTTGTTTTCAAAGCCAGAGAAAGAAAATGAGATAGAGTGGTTAGAAAAGAGGGGTTTAGGGAGGGGTTGGGAAAGGACCTGCCCCTGTGCCCCTTGAACCTTGACCCCTCCCCGAAAAGGTCAAGATCACTCCCCCAGGCTATTTGAACTGCCCCCTCTTCCTGCCCTGCGTGTTGGCTTTCCATTTCCCTGGCCACCTGGGACTGCAGGTGTCCAATTAAAACTGGATATTTTAACTTGGTCTGATTTGATTTGGCTGGGATTATTTTGCGTGGGCAGAGAGCTCGTGTTAGAAAATATTTCTAATGTAAATTTTTAAAAATCCAGCCATCTGGAAATGATGAAGACAGCACATGCACTCTTTCCCCACCTCCACTTGAGTAGTAAGCATTGAAGGCCAGCCTGGCCCCAGTATTAGAAGTGGCGTACAAAGCACAGAGAGGTGAAAGTGTGAACTCACTTGTTGGCGCCTTCATTAGGCCCCACCTGTAGCCCTGTGTTTAATCATTTGCTTCTCAAGGTAAGAGTTGAGACATCATAAAGGAGCATCTGTCACGAAGCAAGCAAGTCAAGAACCTCACGTTTTCAAGAGCACATGACTCCCAGCTACAGTCCTTATGTAATGAACGGATGAGGTGACTGGAAATCTGCCACAAGTCAGAGGTAATGAAGGCGTCAAGCATTTCTGGTCTACTCAGAGCTGCTGGTGCCATTGCAACTGACGATTTCACCAAAGCCGTGCCTTATCTATTGACATTAGCTCAAGTTTGGGCTTCAGTTGATAAATTTTCAGATATGCTCAGAAAATAAGTGAGGCTTCAAGAATTCTGGCAACAGATCCGGTTACTCATACCAATCTGTAAACACAAAGGTCATGAAGGAAGAAAATGCAAGTCCATCCAAGGAATCATGTGGGGCCCACTCTTGGTGAGTAGCAGGGGCTGAGCCCCAAAGACTGAAGCAGAGGCAACAGAAAGGGAAAAGTGGGGCAGCCAGTCCCACACAAAATTAACACAGGAATAAAACAAGAAAATCTGATGCTTGATGAAATTCTTTTTTTTTTTCCTGTTCCTGAGATACAGAAACTTAAGGAGTATCAGTCCTAGCTCCCAGTTTTGAGTAACAAATCTCAATATTAATGACAGCTACAGTTTTGATCCATATGTGACAGAAGTAAACCCCCAAACCCTTGGTTAAGGGACTGGGCCTTGTTGGACCCGAAAGGAAATTCTAAAATCTTCACGGGACTGATTGAAAGAGGGCTCAAAAGAGTCAAATAAGGTAAAGTCAGTTCAGACGTCAGGTCCAACAGGCAACAAGTAAGGGCTGACTGGGAATAGGAGACTTGGCCCAAAGGTCAGGGGCTAACTAAACAGTCCAGAGGGGGAAGTGAAGGAGTCCAGGATTCTGTTTGTGTTTTACTGGTGCCAGCTAGCTTCAAGGGGTTGGTGCGGGTGTGGGTGGCCCCGTTAAAGGCACAGAGTAGGAACTGATTACGACTCCAGGTCTCTTTTCATTAGTGCATTACAAAATGATTTTCAGATTAGTGAGCCCGAGGGCATCCACATAATCCTATTTTCTAAAAGATGACTAGAAAACAGAAAGAAAGAAAATAAGTAGTTAACATTAATTGACTGCCAGACACTATTTCTAACCACTTGAACACATGATTTTTGTCTAATCTCCATAAGTACATTTGGAGAACCAAGCTTCTTAATAGAGAACTAATTTTAAAAAAGTGATTAAAATATAAGTATCATTTTGGAGAGAACCTTTAAAAATCCATCATGGAAAATAAGTCATAGTCAGTCGTTCATTTGTTCACCAACATATTTACTCAGCCAATAGTTATTGATTATCTGAAGATTGTTGGATAGTATCTGAGGATCCTCAGGTAAGTTAATTGCTTTCTCTATTTACTGTCCTCTACTCAAGGGCCCATCCAGATCTATAGATATGCTTAGCCTTTCAGGATGGGACATTAAAAGCATTTGTTAGCTTTAAATTGCTTTGTAGTTTATAATAAATCACTACTTAATGTGTAGT